AAGTATGATTTATGGAAGAGGGGAATGAAAACCACATTTCTGATCCAAAGCCAGGGAATTCTGATTTTCAGAGGTGTCATCTGACAATAGTCCCTTGCCAAAATGGCTTAAGTCTATCCCTTAATGAAATGGGCAAAGACTCATAAATGAACATTGCTGTCACACAGCTGAATTTAAAATGCTTAAGCACCACATGTGGCTGCGATAATGCCACATGCTTCACGAGGGAGAACTGGCTTCACTGACTCATCCATTAAGATCAGAACTCCATCTATCTGTAAATATTTCTTCAAGGAATGAATCTTCCAGCTGCTAATGGGTTATAGTATAAATTAATAACCATATTGTACTGGTTGGTTTTGTGTGTCAACTTGACACAAGCTAGAGTCATCAGAGAGGAAGGAGCCTCAGCTGAGGAAATGCCTCCATGAGATCCAGCTGTGAGGCACCTTCTCAATTAGTGATCAATGGGGGAGGGCCCAGCTCATGGTGCCATCATTGGGCTGGTCCTGCATTCCATAAGAAAGCAGGCTCAGCAAGCCATGGAAGCAAGCCAGTAAGCAGCACCCCTCCATGGCTTCTGCATCAGCTCCTGCTTCCAGGATCCTGCCGTGATTTGAGTTCCTGCCCTGACTTCCTTCAGTGATGAACAGCAAAGTGGAAATGTAAGCCAAATAAACCCTTTCCTCTTCAATTTGCTCTTTGGTCATGGTGTGTCATTGCAGCAATAGAAACCCTATTTAGGGCACACACATAAATACTCAATCAGGTCCCTTAACCTGATTGGGTTATCAGGAGTGGCTGGCAGCACCATTGTTTTCCCACATTCTAGCTTTCCATGGGTCTTCTCCATTACTTAAAGATTTTTTTCATAAGTATTTATGTGTATGAGTGTATATGTACTGTGCACAAGGGCTCCCACGGAAGCCAGAAGGAGTAGTCTGAGTCTCTCATGCCAGAGTTGTAGGCTATTGTAAGACATTTGGTCCTTCCCAAGAGCAGCAAATATTCTTAGCCACTGAGCCATCAATCAGCCCAAACCTTCTCCATTATTAATAATTAAAAGGACAAATGAAATATTTTTTCATCTTCATTTCTCTTACTTAAAATGGGATATTTATGACAAATGTAGGATCTGTAGGCCTCATATAATCTAACTATGACAATGTTTATGTAGCTATGAAGACAAAACATCTATTATGCATTCCACAAAACAGATTGAACATGCACAACACATTATCACACTGCATTACCACACAGAATGAACATCTGTGCAATTTTCCACAATTGTCCTGTGACATACCAAAATACATACATAACAGTACTAAAAATCCAAGGTCCCAAGGTCAAGTACATGCAGAATATGCCATTTGGCTTCAACTACTACATAGAACATAAGAAAAGTATCTTCGCCTTCTCCCTCTTTTGGTTTCTACTGTGGTCTATCGCCTTGAAGGTAATTAGCTCAAACTGCTAATCAGTTTGCATTATAGCAGTGGGTCTCAACCTGTGGGTTGTGACCCTCAGTGGCAGGGGTGTGTGTGTGTGTGTGTGTGTGTGTGTGTTGACTGACCCTTTCACAGGGGTCACCCAAGACCTTCAGAAAACACAAATATTTACATTATGATTCATAACAGTAGCAAAGTTATAGTTGTGAAGGGGCAATAATTTTATGGTTGGGGGTCACCACCTCATGAAGAACTTAATTAACTAAAGGGTTGCAGCAGTAGGAAGGGTGAAAACTGCTGGTCTAGCGGCTTATGGTGCTATAACATAGGCTTCTCTCTGGGCATTTCTATAACCAGAAGGCTGTCCTATCTTGCGGGGGCCTTAAAATTAAAAAAAAATTCTGTTCTTACTTATATATTAATTGTATGAAATATTGACTTTCATTATGCCCTTTTCATATATTCATGTAATGTATATATGAATAGAAATCAGCTGGCTTCTATTCTAGGGCTTGGTGGTACCAACTTCTCTGAAAGCTTACCCTGGTCACAAGCCCAATTATTCCTTGTATTGACTTGGTCTTTAAAGAACACACCTCTGCTCACTGGAAGCTATGCCACCTTTAAAATCAGTCACCCCTAAGTCACACAGAGAGCACACCGGAGACAGGTGGTGAAACTGTCACTTATGGCTCTGTTTTTCCTTTGAGATGGGGAATCTCACAAAGCCCTGGATGGCCTCAAATACAAATGGCCTGCCTCTGCCTCCCAAGTGCTGGGATTAAAGACTTATGCTACTACAGTTAGGATTCCTTCCTTCCTTCCTGCCTGCCTGCCTGCCTGCTTTTGGTTACAAGCAGCCAACCAACCAACTAACCTGACCAAACTTAGATGTATCTGTATGTGTCTGTATGCTACTTGTGTGAGTGCCTGCAGAGCATAGGGAAACCCAGAAGATGATGCCAGGATCCTTGGAGCTAGATTTACAGATAGCAGTGAGCAGTAAGCCACTGGACATGGGTGCTGGGTTGTCTGGAAGGGCACGTAAGTGCTCTAAACCACCAAGCCGTCTCTCCAGCCACTCACTCACGACTCCTACAGACTATTAGTCAATACTTTCCCATGGTGAACACATGGCTCTTACTTTAGGGAAGAGAGTGGCTAGGGACAGCCACAGGAGAAGTGGCTAACTGATCAACACTGTCTCAGGGCATAACTTTCCAGTTTTAACCAGAAGAACATGATAGGGAAAACCCACTGAGTCAGGAATGCTACTTTTATGTCAACTTGACACAGGCTAGAGTCATCAGAGAAGAGGGAGCCTCAACTGAGAAAATGCCTTCATATGATTGGGCTGCAGGCAAGTCTGGAGGGTATTTTCTTAATTAGCAATTGAACGGGGAGGCCCAGTCCATTGTGGGTGGTGCCACCCCTGGGTTGGAAGTCCTGGGTTCTATAAGAAAGCAGGCTGAACAAGTCATGGAGAGCAAGCTAGTGAGCAGCACTCACTGTGACCCCAGGTTCCTGGCCTGTTGGAGTTCCTGTCTTA